CCTGGTATAATAGACAGTTGGGAATTTTAATTTTTATTAATTTGAAAAGAGGTGGGATTCCAGGACCGATATAAAATTTCAGGAATATGTAAAGACTTTTTTTCTGCTGAGGTTGAAATACCAGATGCGACTCAAAAGTGGCTCACTTCTATAACTAGTTTCTTTTTTCGGATAAAAAAAAACGATATTTGGTATGGTAAAATATGACATAAATTAGGATTGATTGACGTATTTGATTGTTTTTGGTCACTTCCTGTTTTACGGGAAATTACTATAACTTTTGATTTAAATGGCAACCTTGGTATATTTTTACTTTATTTGATAGAAAATCACACTCTGAATAGAATGACAAGTTGTGACATTTTCGCTTAAAAAAATTGTATTTTAAATTTCAATCTAGAGTGCCATGGTTGTGTTAAAAACAGTAATTTTTAATCAAGGAGCCTTGAAAAAATATATTTGAAAGTCTAATGTTTTTGTTTCTTGTCCTGGCCTGTTAAAAGATGCCCAAATCGTATTTTTAATCATATCCCAATTTTTTCAAATGGAACAAGGGTGTGTCATTAGCATATTTGGAAAAAACATTTTTTGACATATGTGTCATTCTATTCAGAGTGTCATTTTCTATCGAATAAAGTAAAAAATACCGAGGGTGTCATTTAAAAATCAAAAGTTGTAGTCATTTCCGGTGAAATCGGAAGTAACCAAAAACAATTGAATACGTCAACCAATCGTTTTTTTTTTATCTGAAAAAATAAAAAAGTTATAGGGGTGAGCCACTTTTGAGAGGCACCCGGTAAGAATACTACCAAATAAAATACTTGTTATACTTATTTAAGAAACACCGAAAACACCCTGTATAGAAAAGTTTGGCAACTGCGTTGTAACAAAGCCATAGCTAGAGAACAAAAAGAAGAAGCAAAAAAACAAATAAAACAACTAACTGAACTTCGATCTTCAATTTGACGCGTATATGAACAATATCCGACGCAGCGAGAGTATTTAATGGAGTGGTACCCGGCGTACCAGCACGCTCGCGAGCAGTTTTAAAAGGATTTTCATCTGCCAGATGGCGGTACCCTCCATTTAAAAGGCGTACGAGACCGGCATACGTAAGCGAAGGAAGAGTATGGTCAGTGCGGGGATTTCTGGCGAAGCGGTCAAGAAAGGAATGGACACGCGTTTTTGATATTCAACACAGCGGATAAGGCGCGACAGAAGGTACTGTCTCGATATGGCGTATCGAGACAAATCTACCAAGCTTGAATTGTGTAGAAAAATGTTTTAAAACCGAGTACGTGAGTGGTGTAGAAGCAAACAGGTACTTATTAGTAAGAAATTTCAAGAAAAGGAAAGTGACATATCTGACAAATAAACTTTCTGCATTCATTATTGCAAATGGTACCGCTAAAAATTCTAAAATCCTTTAAATACAAAAAATGTTCATTTTTTAATTTTCTATCTAACAAAGGAATACTAACAGGATGTTCGATTAAAAAAAAAACTAAGTTGTAAATAATGTCTATACTTATGTGGCGGATTCATCTCCAAAAAATTTCTTTATGGGTATTTCGCCACTGCACTGCAAGAAAATACTGCTTGTCAGAAGTTATATTTACAGTTATACAAATTTGACTAACAAAGAAAAAAATGCTCAACGTTTCGGAAAGTTTATTTCTTTCCGTCGTCGGAAGCAAAAAAAAATACAAGGAATAAAGAAAACAACTGTTTAAAATATTTAAATTCAACTATTCGAGAACACTTTACTTTTTTAAAACAAATACGTCTACAAGAAACCGTTGACGTTCTGTTAAAATGACATTATATCCAAGTTAAACTTCAAAATTAACAATATTACTACCTGATAACAATTACTTAATAAGATAAAACCAAAAAACCCCAAACTTTCTGTATGATTATTTTTAAATTTTACGTATATTATGTTGTTTAAAATCAAAGAAACGATTGCCATACATTACTAACATCTACAAATGCATGAGATTGAATTAAAAAAGCCTCTTTTGTTTTTCGTTTTGAGGCTATTGCTGCTTTCATTTTAATTTTGGCGTTATTAAAATTTATTCTGTGCCCTGTGTCCCATAATGCTGACAAATCTTAGATTTGTGAAAATCTCCCTTTCTTAAATAATCTTTATGTTCTTTAATTCTAACATTTAAGGGTCTAGACACAATTAGGTTTTGATTAGAAATATGATAAGCGTAATAATCCAGCAGTCGGACCTTAGACTATTACTGGCTCTAGACCAAGATAGGATTTCGAAGATTAGTTTAAAACATGTTTAGAACAAATTTTAAACATAATCCTGAGTTTAGAACTATAAAAACACGTTTTAAAAAAAAAAAAAGCATCTTTTTTTCAACCGTGGTATGTAAGAGGCATCTAAAACCCTTGTTAATTTGATAACATAACTACAACCTACTTTATTTTTCTCTTCAAGCATAAACGCATGATTTCTAGGTTCATATGTCGGTTGCTTCCGTTATTATATAGTTAGTAAAGTAACAAATTGCGAAAGACCATCTTTTTTGTGTGGCTTTTCCGCAGAACAAGGCTATCCCAGCGAATAGCGCGTTGCAGAATTGGAATTATGACTGTTGGTAAACTAGAAATTTCTCTTAATGAACAGCGACCGGATGATAATTACGCTTAAAATTAGGTCCTGCGTTAATTAGGAGGTAATTTTGATTGGTCAGTCGGTCGGTCATTCTTTAGTCCTAAAATAACCACATATTAAATTATTACGAGTACACTCTGTACACAGTAGACCATAACTTTTTTTAACTTGAATAAAATATTTTTAGCCGAGCATACCAATAGGTATGGTAGGCTATTAGGATCGGCAAAAAAAAAGTTTTTTTAATTTCACTCACAATGAGTTATTTGGGTCATAAATGACCTAAATACAAAATATTTTTGTGGTGTCTGTCTGTCTGTCTGTCTGTCTGTCTGTCTGTCTGTCTGTCTGTCTGTCTGCCGTCTGTAACACGATAACTCAAAATCCGCTGAACCGATTTTAACCAAATTTGGCACAAAAATACTGTGGCACCCCAGAATCTGGCCATTAGTTTTTGGTGGGGGTGGGTTTTAATGAGAGGTATATAAAATATGTCTAGATTTGTTATGAAGTATTTTTAAATTGTTGAATGACTATTTCTTTGTGTAAATCGACTAAATATTAAAACATACCTGAAAAACACCTACACACAATACCTCCAGAAATAAATTATTTGTCATTGACAGTGGTTTGTCAGTTAGATTATATATCAAGTTTTTAGATAATTTAGGGATCAGTTCATACAGCCACCTTTAGATACATAAATATTAGAACAAAGGTTCGTTTAAACGACATTAGTGAATTAGCTACACAAAGCGATTTTAGGAAATTCGTCCTCTTAGAGAGTAAAATTATGTCGGAACAATTTGTTGTATGAAAATTCCTTACTATGTGGTCTAGAAGAATGAAATCCTACAAAAAGAATTAGAAGAGATTTTTGAAATTCATCAACCAAATGGGTAAAGTAGTAAAAATTTATATAAAACTTGGTGACCTCTGGATTATACACATAAAAATTGGCACAAAGGATCATTTAAAAGACATGAGTTAATTATTTGGATAAAGCGATTTTATGAAATTTATAATCTTAGGGAGTAGAATAGGGAATGAAAGTTTGCTGTACGAAAATGCATTACTATAACATTAGCAGTATAAAATTTTATAGAAGGGTTTATTTAGTGACACATCAATAATATAAACTTCTATATTTCTTCTTCAATTATCCTTCAAGGAATAAAAAATAACTATAAATGGAGTATTAGTGCTCTTAATAAACCAAAAAAAGACTGTAAAAGAATATAGTGGATATGACAAAAGACTAGGTTCCCAACCGTCCCGATTTAGCCGGGATTAACCAGGAATCAGAAAGTTTGTCCCGGCGAAAGTTTTGCCTTGGCCGGGACCTGAAAACTAAAAAAATGTGAACTACACACATAATTTATTTTATTTTCTAATATTTAATGTCTTGTCTAATATCAGTTAAAAATCCGCTACATGCACATTATTTTTACTTTTCAGCTTGCATGCCTAATCCTATTCACCGTGTCATGCTTACCTTATCAACAGTTACACCGTATACGCGGACCAAATTACCAAGTAAAGGAGTGAATGACATTATGTGTAAATAAAAAAGTGTATATACATGACTTAAATTAGAATTTCAAGAAAACGGCTCACTCACCTAGGAAAGTTATTTTTATTAGAGGGCCTTCGCGCAAATGTCGAAGTAAACTGTATAATTTGTACGATATAATTTGTTAAAATAAAATATTTTCTATGTGTAATAACATAGAAATGTCGTAAGAATGTAAATAGTACCGTGGGTAATGACAGATATAGGATATAAGCTTATAAAAAACAATTCTATATGAACTGCAAGTCGTAAATCAAAATTGTAAATAATCGGATAAATATGGTTTTGTTAGAGAAATAATTTATTTTGTAATAATTTATCAGTTTTATTAATACAAATAAATGTGAGAATTAACTATATGCTTTGGAGTTTACCCTAAAAAAGTTTAACAAAGATCATATTATATGATTATTGTATAATGATTGTAGTATTTTATTAAATTATAAGTAAATATTTGTTTCCCCACACTTATTTATACATTTTTATCTATTGATACTTATGAGTTTACGAACTTACTTAATGGTGTATAATTACGTATATAGAAGAATATAAGAAGTATAGAAAAGAAAGAAGTATATATTGAAAAAAGGTGTGGCTATACCTTTTGTTATGTTTTATGAAGTATTTTTCATAAAACCGTTTAAGATGACTATCTATAAAATTATAATGAATGTTCGCAAAAAAGCGGCGTTACCAACAGTTGGAATTATTCTTAAATTTAAGGAATTTTTGTAACAGTATTTTGTTACGTAAAAATAAACACTAATGTTGATTTTTCTGTTTTTGTTGAAGGGCCTAGATGATCGGCACTACGAACGATCGCAGGGCCCTCGAAAGGGAGGCCCTGCGGAACGTCATCAACCAATGGAACGCCAACCGTTTGGACCTGTTCGAACTGTCAGAACCAAACGAGGTAAGTAATCTATAGTTGTCCAGGGATAGAGTTAATAATTATTTAATATCAAAAATACCAGATACACTACAGAAACCTAAGTCCAGTATTTTTCTGGAATTCGTAATGTCCCCTTGTTAATTTTTAAGTTCTGACACAAAGTATACTGCTGGGCTCTAGATTTACCACTTCTAAACAAAACCAATTGTAGAATAAATAATAAATAAGATAAAATAAGCTCATAGAGAAAAACACAACAAATCCTGAGAAAAACAAAATAAAAATGGGGATTTATGATGTCGAATTCTGTCTGTAATGCATGGAATACATGGATAGCATTTTATTAAACAAAAAAAAATATTTCTATATATATCACATTGTAGATCTCAGTCGAAATCATACTTATTTTCTCGATGGACATACACTAAATGTTCTGTTTTCAAATTCAAAATATCTAGAATGCCTTTTAAAGGGATTTCCTTTGTCTGGAATTGTTCGTTATTTCGGAAATGTATATTTTTTTGGTCCGCTTGAGCCACCATGAGACAATGGTTGCCACTCATAGGTTATAAGGGCTTGCCCAGCCCTTTTTGTCCAACCAGTCAGCCGTGGTTCCATTCGACGGAATATTTTTTTTCACTATATTATTATGTGCGTAAATTGATCGTTACCTTTTGAAATTATCGATACTGAAAAACAAAAGCCTTTTAAAATTAAACTGGTTTAACACGTTAAATCAAATTTTATGTTGTTTTCAAAAAATATTGTCTAATTTTTTCTTCCCCAAATCCCCAATAAAAAATTCTACAGACGTATTAAAAAAAAGACGTCGAATTGAAAATTTGATAACACATCTTAAGAAAAAAGTACCAAGGAGAACGTGAAATTTATTTATTTAGAACCCCAAAAAATAAAAATAAACTTGCAAATATTTTTTTTTTCAAAAATCTTCGGATGTAGAAAAAAACCATTACTCATTTTTTCTCCCTTTGACCGACCTGATATATCCTCTAGATTCCGAGATCCCATGCTCTGCAATGATGAGGCTTGAATTTAAGACACCCTGTACACCACAATACTGTATCAGAATAATTATTGTTTCGTTGCTCCTTTTCTTCTGCTATATCTCCCGTGATATGGTGACGTATTATTTATATAGGGTGTCCCAGAAATAAGTGCAAATATTTTAAAGGGGAGTAGATCTCGATAAAAGAAACATATTTTCTCTTTATCGTTTTTCAAATAACTCCAAAATAACAGAGTTATTTTACTTTGAAAATTTCCAAAAAAAAATTATTTTTTGCTAAAATTTTGAGAACCACTAGATCTTTTCTGGATTTTCTTTCTTGTAAATTTAATCTGATACCTATGTTGCCATATTATCAAGAAATTATGTTTTTTTAACTAAAAACTAAAAAAATTTCCAAAAATTTTTTCTAAAAATTTCGAATTTTAAAATTTTTTTTTTTCGGGAAAAAACCTCATAGGCGTGTTCCTTTACTACCAGTTAAAATATCTGCACTTATTTCTGGGACACCCTGTATAAAGATACCTATAAGTATATCTACCTGTAATTCAATATCTGTATACCGGATGTAATGGAGTATACTTTGACGTATAGGCGGAGCTACTTCATTATACAGGTGCAAAAAAGTATTAATTTTCAAGGAATTTAAAAGGCATCATCCCATGAAGGTCAGTGTTACGCAAGTTTTTAAAGGGACTATAGTGATATATCAGAGAATTAAGTAAACATAGATGCGCTCTGGTATATCAAAACGTTGAATTATGATTCGGTATTTTTCGATGTAGTATTTTTACTTTTCTGAAGGTGTCATCTTATGGGACCTGTTACCCTGTACAGAGTGTTCCATTTTTGCGCATTTTATGGAGTTTTTCGTTTATGAGTAGGTAAGATGAATATATACAGGGCGAATTGTAATCTCTTGTATCTCGGTTATCTTATAACTTATCGAAAAGGTGAAAACTGAATCACATAGAGTTTTTCACGTAGAATCCAGTGGCGTAACGTGTTTTTCGCTGGGAGCTGTCATTTTTATAAAATATCGCCCAAAATTATGTTTTTAAATGGGATACCATGTGTAAAACACACGAATATATGGGACACCCTGTACACACATCTGCTACAGAAAACTCTGATGATAATAAACACTGACCAACTTAAATGCTACAATTGAAAAATCTCGAATTGTTGTGTTACTTGAGTTGGAAAAACGAAAAGAAAAACCGACTTCTACGGTGAAAATATCAGTCCATTTAAACAATAATCGTAAAATAGCCGCTGGCCAATAAGAGGTCACGCATTTTCCGAATAGTAGGTTAGTCAGTGAGACGCGCAGACTTACAAGGTAAAGGGTAACGACCTGATCGACAGTAAGTCGTAGGCTTTTCGAGAAAGAACGCTAGTTAGAAAAAAGAAAAGGATCTCAGGTGGCCAAGTGAAGAAACAATGACATCGGTAGGTACAAAGAGTAAAAAAACTGGGAGCAGCTTACGCCAACTCGGCCAAGTTAAATGGATCTTTAACATTAGTAAATACATTCGAGTCAAATTATCGCTATGAATCGCATGTTGCAATTACAAATAAACCATATTCGAAAATGTCAAAAGTTGACATATGATATGTCATTCTCTTCAAAGTGTCATTTTCTATCGAATAAAGTTAAAAAATACGGAGGGTGCCATTTAAAAATCAAAAATTGTAGTCGTTTCCGGTGGAACAGGAAGTGACCGAAAAGAATTGAATATGTCAATTAATCCCGATTTACGTCCATATACTAACATACCAAATTTCTTTTTTTTATCTGAAAAAATAACAAAGTTATAGCGGTTTTCAGTGTCCATCTTGCGGCTGTTTATTGAAATATCTGACTTATGTATCATGAGACTTACTCGTAATGTTAATACCGACCAAACAACTAACTTAAGACAGTGTCTATTTAGAAAGATTTAAATATGTGGGAGTAGTCGATCAAAAAATACTTCTCTGTATGAAGTGACCCAATCGTTTCAAACTATAGCGAGCCATAGATTAAAGTATAGTAGTTTCGACACGCGAATGCAGTAGGAAATATGGCCGTTGCTCGGCAAAAAGCCGGATATTAATCTTTTGGCGTGGATATTGCGAACGAAACAAGGGTTTCGAAACGGGTTAAGAGCGTTTGGAAACGAGACTTGAGGCTAATAGGTGCCATTGTACTAGCTCGATGAAAGAATAATGAAAAGGTGATATAGTATTAGTCAAGTTGTCATGCGACTAGCAAAAGAATAAAAAAAAATAAAAAAGGATTGAAAAATGCTTGATTTTAACTGACATCATTTTCCTCAACTTTTACCCTTAAGCACAAAAGTACGAAAATATTATTATTATTATTAAACTGACATAAAGTGTCAAATTCAACGACCGTAACCGTAGTTTCTGGATATATAATTATTTATAGGTATTACTTTTAAATCTTTTTATATTATTTGCAACGATTTAAATTTGTTTAAAAAATTATTTGTGGCGTTCGAAAAAAATAACATTTGGAGTAAAAATTACTTTTTGTACCTCACCTGTAATATCGAGCGTACAGCCTCACCAGAAAAGTATCATTTTTACTCCTAATACAACAATACTATTATAATATAATCTAGGTAAAGATCAAGGGGTAAAGATTAGATGTCTAGGCTTAGTAGTTGTTTTTTTACTTTCCTTAGGTGCTATAATATCTTATCAGACTAATTTTTAATTTAGCTTCTAGCATTCCTGGTAGATTACGATAAAAAAGGACAAATATTTACTCAGTAACGAACAGTTAAAAGGTGTGCTAATTGATTATTAATAGAAACTATTGTCGAAAGTGTCTAATAATCTCTATTGTCATTAAACAATATTTCATTCAAATGATTGTGTTAAGTGCACATCTTTGTTTGATGGACAAAAGAAGTACATAAAAATAGAGAAACGAAATTATAAAAAACCTAGGTATATTATTTTTCACGATAACTAATCATTTCTCATTTAGGTAAATAAAATTAATTATAAATTATCTAAATATCGTTTTTAAAAACGGAATATAGCTCAAAGAAATAAAAAAATAAAGAGGAGCTCATAACGTATGAGAGTCTAACCACCTGGTTTACCACAATTATTATACCACCCTTAAAAATATTTGCACATACTTAAGACTCACCCTGTATATTAAACATAGGGTATACTATGTTAATTTAACTGAAGAAAGGTACCTTTTAAAATTTCTATTTAGTTAACCAAGAACAAAACAGGAAACCCATTGTTATAGTAAAAAAGTAACGTGTCCTTTGTATAAATATATGTATCTATTTAAATGGCATTCGTATTTCGGAGCGATTGTTAACTTTGAAAACGATAAGAAAGTAGGTGAAACGTCTTAATTTCGTTCAAAATGATGGTTTGTGTTACTTTCACGATATTACAGAGTTGGCTAATGGTTGTGAACTCGTTTTTGTCTATTATTATAAACCAACAAGTTGAATACTTCGAATTCGTTTTTTTCTGTCGAGTAATTTTCTTCAAGAAAACAATTATGATAATATTTTATAATTTGCTGATACGATTAGTCGTTTACTACGTGTAAATTAAAGGTTTATTGACTATGTTCAATTGTTTTTGACTTTCTTCCTTTTCATTTATTCACCGAAATGATTTATTTTTTGATTTTTAAAGTTCACCCTCCATATACAGGGTGGTCCGAACCGAGGGGTAAATTGCAGAGGGAAAAGTGTACACCGTAATTCCCTTGACTCAAATAATTCCTCAGAATTCAAATCGTAATTCCTTTGGAATTCAGGGGAATTCCTGGTCTTCAAGGTCAAGGTAAATCATTCAAGGTCTTCCTTGGAATTCCTTGGTATGAACTTCGTTAACTATCTTTCAGTCTGAACCAGCGTTGCCACCTCGGTTTCGCAGTTCCGCTATGAATTTTCTGGTGATTTTTATAAATGTCTAATGTCTCTATAAGTACTAGATCTAACAATAAAAAGTACTATTACGAGATTTACGTTTTTTTAGTTAAATTTTAGTACCAATAGGGGATCATGAGGTAAAAATACTGGAAATATGTCGGCACTTACTTATTAAAATTAATTTTTCTCGGGATTTTTTGAAAATGAGAGGACCTAGTTATACTCGTATCTATAGGAAAGGAAATTAATAAAACTTCAGTTGCACGTCATAATACGATCACCAGTAAATTCCATAAGATTACGCATGGTATCATTGATGAAGTGCACCTAAAGTTGTATTAATTTCCCTATAGTATATACCTAGGTATTATTCCGAGGAAATGAAAAAATCAACTTTACACTTTCTGGAGTACTGAATAAAAAAATCTTATGAGGGTTTCTTTAAAATGGCGAAATCAGGGAACGTTATAAGTAGATCTCTCGGGGGTGGTTCGGCCGTACTATTGGAAAATATTTTAGATATATAATCGAGGGTACAATATTAAATTAAAAGAATATCTAACCTGTAGATATTTGATATTGGGAAATTTTGGAAGCGAAAACGAAAAACGGATAGTAAAAAATCGCCTGCAAAACGTTTTTCTTTAAATTTAGTACTACCTATTATAGTATTCATGGTTTACTAATGTTCGTTAATTTTTTATAAAGTTGCTTGTAATTCCTCTTAATTCCTGTGGAATTCCTCTAAATTTCTAATTCTATTCAGAGTGTCATTTTCTATCGAATAAAACGAAATATACCGAGGTGCCGTTTAAAAATTTAAAGTTATAATCATTTCCGGTGAAACAGGAAGTGACCAAAAACAATTGAATGCGTCAATCAATCCTAATTTATTTCATATACTAACATACTAAATCTTGTTTTTTATTTGAAAACATAAAAAATTATGGGGATAGCCACTTTTGGGACGCACCCAGTATAATAAAAACAGTACCGAGTTAAATAAATGTAGTTTTTATTTTATCCACTTCCTATCACCTTCCTTGCTTTAATGGAACAGATTTATGTTTTCTCTAATAATTTACATAATAAGACATCACTTAACCAGACAAAAAATTACAACAATCATATTTTTTTTTTCTCTCCCTGTCGCCGATTCTATTATATCTGTAGAATAGATCCTGTTTTGATTAATATTAGGGGTTGTAAATGTTTGACTAAAATTAATAATTTATTATTAATTTCAAAAATTACGTAATTGCGATTATAAAATTTCTTCTATAACGGCAGAGTCGTCAGGGAACGACCGTTACGACAGAGACAACCTATCTATCGCTCGTGTCGCACTCGTTATAACCTAAAACAATTCTTACGGAAATAACAAGAATTCTAGTAATTCCTATGGAATTTTGGAATGAGATGTAATTCTATGAATTATTTTAATTCTATGGCTAATTCCATTGAATTCCTTGGAATTCCTGTAGAATTCCTTCATAGTGTACACCATAATTCCTCTGCGGTTTACCCCTCGGTCCGAACTGTATTCCGGAAACTTCGGCAGCATATTCTGCAGATAAAAATAAGTAAAAAAGTTCGTATAAATGTATGTATTAAAGTGCTTAGTTTCGGAGATACAGGGTGTAGAAGTTTCATTTTTATTTCGATTTTTTTCAAATAATTTCTGAAGTAACGTCAACATTTGGATGAAAATCGGTATCTGGTAGTTTTTTGATATGAGGAATTTGATTTTGATGTCAATATGACTGCTACTTGCAAAGGGCGTCACCTACATATTTTTTAACTCGTTTGAAGAGTAATAACTTTTTGTCCATACCTGTATAAAACTACTGAGTAAAAAAATATACATTTACGATATGTTTTACGTAAAAAAGATCTCTTGGGAAAAATCGCTACGAATAATGGTTCTCGAGATATTTGGAATCGAAATTATCAATACCTGTCATCATTGACATAAATTAAACATGCTGACTAAATAGTTATTTGACTGAAATCATAAATTTCAAATGTTTTGTGCCAAAAGTTCAATAGAAACTGTTTTATCATCATTTTTTTCGCAGAAAAATTTATGATTAATTTAAAAAAAAAATTCCCAAATTTATTATTTCAGTCAAATAACTATCTACTCAACATGTTTATTTTTTGTCAATAATGACATGTACTGACTATTTCCACTCTAAATATCTTGAGAACGGTTACTCGTAGCGATTTTTACCAAGAGACATTTTTTACGTAAAAAGTCACGGAAATGTATATTTTTTCACTCAGTACTTTTATATAGGTACGAACGAAAAGTTATTACTCTTCAAAACCGTTAAGACACATGAAGGTGGCGCCCCCTACAAATAGGAGTCATATTGACATCAAAATTAAATTTCTCATGTCAAAAGACTCCCAGACACCAATTTTCATCCAAATATTGACGTTACTTCAGAAATTATTTGAAAAAAATCGAAATAAAATTGAAACTTCTACACCCTGTATCTCCGAAACAATGCATTTTAATACAGACCAAACCAAACCAAATTTTCATACCGTTTAGAGTAAAATTAAAAAAAAACGGACTGTATGATGAGTTATAACTCAAGAAAGGTGGACACAGATCTACCAGGTCGCGGTACCCAAAACAAACTTCCTCCTACCAACACAGCTACAATCTACAACAGAAAAAGCTTGTTGTTAACCATCAATAAAATGTTAAATCGCCTATTTTACAGCAATGACCTTAAAACTTATTAGTTTGAATTGGTTTAATCTGAAATAATTGTTGTTCCATCTGTATAAGGAAAAGGCTAATTCATTTAATAGTAACATAAAATTATTAATAATATTTTACATGCCTTACTGGTTACGGTAGTTCGCCATTCCATTATTCATGAGGTAAAAGTAAATCTTTTAATTTAATTGGGATTTGTTTTGTTTATTTGTTTGTTGATTATTTATTGGCCAGCTGTGGGTTGAAACTGGTGTAAGAGATTGAATCAATAACCAAAGGAGAGTGGAGTGAGTGTTTTACTTTGCTAGAAGTTTGTTGTTTTTTGCGAGATGAAGCCACTGATTTAAAAGTCCATGCAGACTAATTTTTTATGACTTTTTTGATAAAATAATTTAAATTATATTATATATTTAAAAATAGACATAACAAGAATGGAATATTATTTCATTATTTGTCTTTAGTAATTTCCTACCTGGGTATTCTATAACTTTTTTATTTTTTTAGATAAAATAACCAGATTTGGTATGTTAGTATGTGACTTAAATTAGGATTGATTGACGAATTCAATTGTTTTGGGTTACTTCCTGTTTCACCGGAAATGACTACAACTTTTGATTTTTGACTAGCACCCTCGGTATTTTTTACTTTATTCGATAGAAAATGACACTCCGAATAGAATGACATATCATATGTCAACTTTTGACATACCTAGTCCCTTTAAAAAAATCGTATTTTAAATTTCAATCTAGGGTGCCATGGCTGTGTTAAAAACACTTATTTTTAATCAAGGAGCCTTGGAAAAATAGATTTGATCGTCTAATGTTTTTCGTGTCTTGTCCTGGCCGGTTAAAGGATGCCGACATCGTATTTTTAATCATATCTCAATTTTTTCAAATGAAAAGAGAGTGCTCATTAGCATATTTGGAAAAAGCATTTTTTACGAATAATTTGGTACCACACACTTGGTGTTATTTGGTATTTTTTATGTCATTCTATTCAGAGTGTTATTTTCAACTTTTGAGACGCATCCTGTATATATAAAAATAAACATTATTGAAAAAATTTCAAGAAGAAAAAATCCCCCAAAAAATGTCTCCCTGGAATCTCTATCTAAGAAGCTTTTAGAATAAAAAGAATAGATATTCTGATTTTTAGTGTTTTTTTTTTGGTAGGAATAGTCCCACAAGAATCGACTAAATTGAATTTGTTACAAAAATATCTGCCTGTAGTTATACTAAAAGCTTTCTATTGCATTTATCTATTTTTAAACTTTACTTTTCTGAGTTTTTTTAATATAACAGAGCTATAATTCTATAAAGGTATTAAGTTACTAAGATATGTTAATATAATAAAAATATTCAACTTGAAAATTAAAATTCTCTTAGAAGAAACCTATCACCCTGTTTAAATTAAAGCAGTTGGTCCGGCGCATCCGCCATATTGTTGAATATCTCTTTTAGTCGCATAACATTAAAATAAAATTATTCATTAATTACTCTAAAACTATCAAAGGAAATTTAGTAATCCGGGGTATTGTAAAGTGATCAGGAAGTGATCCAACAATAAAATAATATACAGGGTGTTTCGTTTAAAACAAAATCACCCTTACCCACTCGCTTTTTTCATATATCTTGTACAAGTGAACATTGGAATCTCGAAAACGGAATCATTTCCGGAAATATGGCAGAAAAACTGAAATTTCCTTAACCTTAAACAACAAATTTTGCTTGTTTTTTTTTACACACACCTAATTTTTTCCTATGATTCCTTAATATTTATTTATTTTCTAGGATCTGGAGTTCCACGGTGTCATGCGGTTCTATTTCCAGGATTCTGGACAGAAAGTAGCAACGAAATGCATCAGAGTGGCCAGCGATGCGACTGTTGAAGACGTTATAGGAACACTTGTAGAAAAATTCAGACCGGACATGAGAATGCTGAGCGTACCTAGTTACGCCCTGTATGAACTCCACGAGGGTTGTCCAGAACGGAAAATGTCACCCGACGAAAAGCCCCTCTTGGTCCAGTTGAACTGGCATGTAGATGACAGGGAAGGAAGATTTTTATTAAGAAATATTGACGACAAACCAGTGAGTATTTTTTTTTAATTTTTTTTAGCTACTAATTAATTTTGTATGAATTAGTTCAAAAACTTTAAGAGAAGAATTATTTTATTAATTATTATTTGTTTTAATAACTCTAAAAAAGAATTATTTTTTGAATTATTGAAACATGTCCTGTATAATGGGCTTTGGACTTCCCGCAGTTTTAACAAAAGTAGAATGTTGAAATATTTAAAGCTATAGGATCAGAAAATTATGTTTTTAAAGAATAACAAACACTAGATCTTATCATTTCTAGTTTTGTTTATTTTCTTATTCATTTCAGAATTTCAAAAAGAATACATGAAATATTAACATACCAAATAAACGTCACTGTCACATTTAGACAATGATTGTGTTTCAGATTGGTTCGATGGGTTCTTTAGACTCTAATGCCAGTTTTCGACGGAAATTGTCAAAGAGGGAAAAGAAACAACTGAAGAAGCAGGAAAAACTGTCGAGAATGAAAAGTGAAAATGGCGACGTGAATGGACAAGATAATGTGACTGAAAAACTATATAACGGTAAGTTCAGTCATTTTTTGTGTCTAATTTTTTGATTTTTAGGATTAAAAAAAAATCATTAATTTTTTCATGTGTTTTTTTATTTTTTTTAAAACGGTGTGAATATTTGGAAAATCATAAACGTGATTAACCACTCTCGAACAAGCAATTTTTTTTATAAAAAATGCATTTTTTTCAAAACGTCAATAATAAAAAAGTTTGTATATTTAAGTTTGTCTAAGTATTTAATGTATTTTTTAGAACTTCCCGAAACTTCTTTTACACGATCGATATCGAACCCCGAGGCTGTGATGAGGAGACGAAGACAACAAAAATTAGAGAAGAAGCTACAACAATTTCGGTCAAAAGATGGCGGCCCAGATACAGGTAGCTACTTGTATTTTGTTAACAGCATCTTTCAACTAACAGCCTGAAAATGCTATTTTCTTACCTTGTTTAATAATAGAATCATTGCCATAGCCTGTTATACCATCGTGGACAGTTCATCTGCGTGGTCTCTATTTTAATGCATGCGATAGAGATAAATATCAATGACCCGTTGACAGACAGAGAGATAAAATATAAACCGGCATACAGTGTTGCCGGTTTTTACGTGTGTAGAAAAATGTAACTATTTTAAAACTTTCATGTATACTACTGAAATGAAGATAATATATTTAAGCTAAATATAACCTATTACAGCTGTAGGTAAAATGTGTAACTAATCGTGAAAATAAAAAATAAAGTTTCAACCCTAAAAGCAATATTTTTCGTAAACGCCTACTTGTGCGGTTTGAAATTTTGATGCGAAATCCGGCAATATCGCATAGAAGAAATGTATCAACCCAACTTTTACCTCTTTTCGATACATTTGATTTGTCATTAAGCTGTCTACATCGCTGTCTTACCCATTAAAATCCAGACCACGCAGTTTCGATGACCACAGATCGGTATATCATACATTTTGTATTTTGTTTAACTTATTTTTCTTTCCAACTAAATTCATTTATTTCTCAAACATATTGTTTATAAAACAAATAACTGAGGATTTTTTTTTTATTTTTTTAGTTTTATTACTTCAGGTTATTTTCCTTTAAAATTTTGATTGATTTCTTTTTATCTTTTAAACTTTCTAAATAATCTGTCTGTACAACATTATCTAATATTAATTATTTCTAGGTGGAACTTTAAAAATCTACGGTGAAGCCCTGTGTAAAGACGTGCCTTACAAAACCCTCTTACTATCAGTAAGAGACTGTGCAGGAGCAGTGGTCAGAGAAATGCTGGACAAATATGGATTAACCAAAGGTATAATATCATGTCTTATTTTTTTTGGCATTTAAAATAAAGTAAAATATTTTTTTTGTGAATTCTAGCTGATCCTTCTCAGTTTTGTTTGGTCCAAGTCACTCAGCAACCAGGCATTCCTGACACGGAATATGTTTTGGATGACGATGAATGCCCATTGAGTATACTAATGACAGCTCCAAACACAGGTAAGTCCAGATTGTACACCAGAAAATAAGTCGGAACCATAGAAGTTCATCATTATTTGTTGATCAAGGTTATAGCATCGAAAGTTTTATGGACAAAAATAAAGTCAAATTATAAACTTGCGTTCCTTAATGACATGATAATACATATCCTTTACATATTTAACTGCGTATATAGTATACTATATTTTAAATTGTTTATGGATTTAAAACAAAACAATTTCATAAAGTCCATTTTGTAATACCTCACAAGTTTTCATCAAATCCGAGAAAATACGGTTTTGTAAAGAAAAAATGTTTACATGGTTCGCTCTTACATTGCTTTGTAGCTCTCTGTAAAACAAATTTACGTGTTTCAGCGCTCTTCTAATAGATGGCGCAAGCAGACACAAGAGCACCGATTTTTCATAGAATTAATTTTAAGTTTTTTTAACGAATTTTTATTTAACACAAAAATAAACTGTTACTAGTTCTTCTGATTTAAATAAAAATTATATCTATTTCTTTTGTATAACGCGTGTTTGTTTTATACGGCGCTTTAATAAATTGCAAAACCAGTTGGTCTGGCTAGAAAATTATAACTACAAAATGCACAAAAATCTAATCTGATTCGAAACCTGTTTTAAACGGTGACCGCGTGTTATTCAACTGTTATTTTGGTCTGCAAAATTGTTTTTTGTCGCTAATATAACATTTTCAAGCCATTTTTAGTGATTAAAGTTTAAGATAATTTAAGTTAATATTCTGTTTATGGTAATTTTTTTAAATATAACATAGACATGTCATAGATGTCTTAGAACAAATGTTATTATAAAGTAGAATATGCCGGTACGATGGACAGATCTTGAATTTGGTAAATATCATATCCACAACTCACCATCAAAAATTGTACGAATATTTCCGCATGAAGAAAGAAACGTTGAAGTATATTTCCAACAAAATTGAAAACCGTTTAAAAAATATGCTACAATTGCCAAAATACAGGTTTGTTCACCACATACGACACGGAGTATTGTAGCTAAATGATTAGATTTTTACAAATTCTAAGTTTTGGGATCGTTGAAGGACTATTAGAGCTACAATTTAAAAATATTTTTACAAGATACAGAGTGTCCCAAATAAATAAAAAATATCAAAGTTGTATTTTTTTAAATGGATTCAAAACACCCTGTATATTATTACATTTATAGTTTCTACGATTAAAATAAAGGTAAGTTTGATAAAGGTTTATCACACTTAAACCTGACCGTTTTTGAAATATTTTCAATTTTGTGAAATTGCAGTCAAAATTTTAAGGCTTCATTTCTCCCAGGGTATCAAAGTTTTTAATACTAAATATTTACTGAAGTTTGTTTATTGATCAGTTATTGTGTTGCAATAATAAAAATTATACTACCTTATATAGAGTGTCCAAAATTTTATTTTAAATAATTAATATCTTTAAACGGCAATAACTTGTTTAATTTAAATGGAACACCCTGTATATTTTATCAGAATCAGATGCACAATTTAATTGTCTATCAAATTGTATTATACCATTTTTTACCTATCTCTTCAAGTTTCCGTAGAAAATGCATTTTCTTGTAATTTAAAACTCATTTATCAATATACCCATGGAATACTGACATTTTAGATTATTTTTAAAGATGTACCAAATTTTTAAAGAGTACAGATACTAATATCGTCGATATAGTTTGTTTATTTCATTAAAAATTAAAAAGAAACTGTTTAAATATTTGTTAAAGAGGACTAATTAATATGATTCCAGTATTCAAACTACATTAATTGACTGTTTGCGTTGATTAATAATAATTACTCCAAATACTAAAAAACTGAATTTTGTATGTGTATTAAACAGTGTGGTAAAAAGTAACACCTTAAAAATGATATTTCATTTTTTGACAAATGCTTATTTATAACAACAGAGACATTCATTTTCATAACTTATTATTATATTGATTTCTGATTCAAATCCACATTTATTTAGAATAATTTATTAACGAACATAATTAAGTATGTAATTAATTAGTATTTGGGCGGAAATAATGGTGGTATATTTAATTAATGGTATACTCTTTTATAAAGATTTAAATAGTTCTCTTTTTGCATACAAATGGGCTAGTAATATTGTCATTTTGCTAAAAACGATAATATTACTAGCCTGTACATTCTGTACCTTTGTTGCTTTAAAAACAATCTAAAATGTCAATATTCCATGGGTATATTGATAAATGAGGTCTAAATTATAAGAAAATGCATTTTGTATGAAAACTTGAAGGGATAGGTAAAAAGTGGCGTAATATAATTTGATAGACAATTAAATTGTGCATCTGATTCTCCTAAAATATACAGGGCGTTCCATTGAAATTAAACAAGTTATTGCCGTTTAAAGATATTAATTATTTAAAATAAAATTTTGGACACTCTGTTTCTGTCTTGTTGTTTTGTCTGCTTGGTCTGGACCCAGCATAAGCTGCATTTTTTTTCCAGAAATACAGTAAATCTTGACTAATTAAACCGAGTTTCCGTTACTTTGAACTTGTTTAAACTTAACGTCTTTTTTGTTTGTTAAAAAACGGTTTCTGTCGTTGCGTTGGCGTCCGCCCGATAAAACGCTGTTTATTTTGCGATTAAGGTGGATCGGAACGTCCCGTGTAGACGCACTCTCCTCCGCTTGTACTATTTATCATTGCACACAGGGCCTTCTCTTCTTTGTTTCTTTGCTTTCGGTCCGTGCGACTACGGGTTAAAAGCCGGCCTGCATGGTCGTGGTTTTCGACCCGGCGATGCCAAATCGGCACTAAAGTACCCAGTTTTGGGGATCTTAATTTGTTTATTGGAGAAACGACAGAAATAAAATACATATTTGATATTTTTATATATATTTAAACAAAAATAATAATAATAATAATCATTTTCAGCTTCATCAGCTCAAAATGAAACTTCTACACTCTGTATCTCCGAAACTAAGCATTTTAGGACGTACATTTATACGAACTTTTTTACTTATTTTTATCTGCAGAATATGCTGCCGAAATTTCCGGAATACGGTTCGGGTCACCCTGTATATATTCCTCTACTATTTCCAGTGTTGTTTTATTTATTAGAGTGTCCTTTCTGTCTACTGGTTTGAAGAACTAAAACTTCATTTTATTTTAAAATGCCGAATTTCCGCACCCATTTTTTTGTGTGTTTATGTTTAGAAAAGTGTTTAGAATGTAAAGCAGAAACATGTTTTCATGTAACTGAATTTCTGTTATTCTAAAGTCGGAAAAAAGCAAAGATTTTGTGTTTGTAGAAGCACAGATTAGGGGGGTATACTATATGTATACAGATAAAAATCTGATCCCTAATTCGTGGTACGAAAATTGTTTTTTATAACGATGTGCAAACGAGTAAAATTTCCTGTGCGCAAAAATAAACTCGCGTAAAATAACAATAAACAGCGTAATAGAGAGATATCGCTAAACCGAATAGCGTGCATGGACGTTAATAAGGCCAGGTGTTATTTCTTTTACGTGAGGTGGTATTAACTCTCCTCATTTATAGTTATCGGATCGGAAAGAATTCTGTTCGCGTCGCGTCCGCTATTTAAACTTAACCTAACTTTGAATTTAAAACTTTGAAATTGTTTTGTTTACTAGGTATTTTAAAATTAAAGGGCTAAAGTGCTTATTACCAGTGCTTTATTGTTCAACGTCTGCCAGTGGGTTTAGGGCAACGAGCAACAAATTCTCTTAGAAGGGCTAAATTGTCATCTGCTGTAAACCTAAGCCTCTTTATAGGTTCTTTAATATTGGAAGAGGTGGAATCCATATTTTGGGCCATATTTATTTAATTAAAACTAATCCCAGCTACTTAAATATCAAATTACCTAATAAAACTAAAGAAATAATTCAAAACAATTCAAACATAACCTAAAATAAAAGATCTCGCCGGCCGGTCCCGAGACCTTGATACTGTTACCAATCGAAACATCCAATAATCGATCAACCTTTCATTCCACCCGAATCGAACGCAAAAAACTCTCTTTCACACATTTCTCATAAAAAAATCGAATTTCCACTCTTACGGTAAATCTAGGGAAAAGCGCTTCTAAACGCGGCAACCTCGCGCGGCAGCGCATGCTTCACCGCCCGCAGGAGTCCGAGTTCACAACGCGCCCGTATCTCGCGGTGGATCCTGCGACGGCAGGAGATTACGAGGTTGCCGCACTTGGACGCGAAATCCGCCAACTCTGTCGCGAACATGTAGAAGACTTTTTCGGGTTTCTTTATGGGGTCGGGGGTGATTTTTTTGTTTTTGTTTATGTTGTTCGAACGGGATCAATAAATTTTGTTAGGAAAAGTTTTGGTAGACCTTTTAGAAGTAGCTGGGGAAGAATGATTTCAGTTGGATGAAGAGTGGAATGCAGGAAGAAGGATGATGGACTGGGGGATCAGACGTATGTATTTTATTTCTAAGTTTTTGATACAAACTCGAAATATATAAAAAAAATTATACAGAGTGATCAAAAAATGTTCCGAGAAAGTTAGAATATCAGTTTTTCTTTTTGGAGAGTTTCGCTCCAAAGTTTTTTTTATGAATTGAGAATGTTTTAAAAATATTCTTATGGATGATCCAAATGTACTTTTACGTTAAACTAACTAGTAGTGTACAGTATGTCCCCGGATTATCTTTACAAGAGAAAAAACTTTTTTAATGTTGAGATTTTGAGAAAAATGAATTCTTGATAAAAAAATTTGCTTGTTCTAAAATGGTTAATCCCCTTTATACTTTTCCAAATATCCATACCGGTTTCGAGAAAATTAAAAAAAAACATGAAAATGTAGTTGAATTTTTTCATCCTAAAAATTAAAAGGCGTTTCTATGGTAATCAGTGATAGTGTGCTGAGTTTTTCCATTTTTCCTACAGAATCTGCATTCACCATTGATTCTTAACTTCAATCTACTTAGATGTTCATTGAGGAGACAGTGTCCGTGACAATCCGAAGATTTTGCTT